TTGTTACTGAATAATTGGTTCTGAGTAATTGGCTCATGGTCACAAATTCTAGCAATTCTCCCAAATGAAAACCTCCTTGGACACACACCAGCACTACATACAGGCTTTTTGTTATATGTGTAATAAAACAGTACAATTAGAGATACATTCGCTTTGACCATTATGCAATTTTATTTTACCTTTTTGGATCAAATGCTTCTCCACCTCTGGAACCTCCTCCAGGTGTTCTCCATGCCAGGCGTTCAATGTATTCATCTGCCACAAAAGGCTCCTAGCCACAGAAAAAAAACTCCTTACAATGTGCCACAGCAGGTTGTTCCTTAAGCAGCTGCTTACACATCATTTTGCAAGCGTTTGGAAGCTTTACTACAATCAAGAGCAAGTACAGTGTTGACAATTACCCTGTCACCTCTTATGTTTATGTATTTCATATAGAGAACACTGGTCTTAATATGGTGGGTTTGAACATCTAGTCTAGAGATTGCCAGACCACTAGCAAAGAATTTGCTGCAGGTCTATGAAGAGTTGGCTCTAAATGACCTGTCCTTATTTCCAGGTAAGCTTAGGGCTTGTCATTACAAAACGTCTGGACCATGCAGCAGCTACACTGATTTGAGATGTTACATCACGAGACCCAGCCGTCAGCTGTGCAGCAAATTAGACAGAAGAACTGATCTGCCTAAAAAATTATGTGGCAAAGTCAGTTTTCTTTGCAGTTGCTCAACTCTCCGATGCAGTTCACAACACGGCATCACAAGCAGAACTGACCAAGGCACTGCCCTGTGGCAAAAACAGCGTGAGACTGCTGCTGGACACTATGCAACATCAAACTGCAGCTGCAGAAACAAAGCAGATAAAAGGAAAAAAAAAATGAAGCAAGCATAAAAACAGATGATGGACTTGACTTTCCCAAGAAGGAAAAACAGGGCATGAGTGATGCTAAAAACACAAGGTTACACCGCACAACAGTGAACAGTTAAGATGATTTTTCCATCCAACAATGTTTTTGGAAGGCAGAGACCTCGTGATAAAACCAAGAGCTCCTATTTAAGTTGGCCTAATACTTAAGCCAGCTCCAACATTTCTTTACATAGTTAATATTAAATACTCAAAACATAGTCCAACACCTATCCTTTCAAAAACTAGCATTTATCACTTCAGCTTCATTGGTAATCTAGCAGTATTGTTTAGGTGCTAACATCAGCACATCTAAGACCAGTAAGCAAAGTATTCTCACAACCACCAGGATTTCATGGAAAGCTTTTAAATTACAGGCAGCAATGGTTCTAAAACTGTGAAACACAACCCAACACGGAGCCAGGAGTGGCTCTGGTTAACAGTGGTGTTTGCCACAACTCCTTTCTAATGAAACATGTGAACGTGCCACCACTGCTCTTGATAAAGCTTGGTTTAAAAAAATAAAAATAATAAAAAATAAACAGACCTCCACAGGTCCCAAATTGGTTCTTGTATCAATAGGTCTAAAACCTTGTCAGAAGTAATAGGGAGGGAAAAAACAGCATTATAGTATTATTTTAATAACTAAAAGCAAGGGTTGGAAAGCAAATATTGACAGTTCAAGGTTTGTCATTCCTCAAAAACACATTATGCCCTATCCAGTCAGGCCCAGCTATTAAACAGAAATATAAAATTCTTCTAAATACATTTTGCAACATGCTGAATCCTGCTGGACAGGACAGAAGTTTCATCCTTTCAACAGATCACCCAGTAACTCCTCATTCAAGGACTGACTAGAGTAACTGGGTTTTGCTTACCCTCCTTGGTTAAGCTTCAGAAATAACTGGATGACACCACATACAATTTCTCTACAAGCCACTCGTCTCTTTAACCCAGTCCTTCCTGATACACAACGTTAAGTTCCCTTTACGTGAATCCTTTTCATCAAAAGTTCTAATGCAGTGTTTTCATACCAAGTGTAAATTCTCTCCTTATGTCATCTTTACGTCTAAATGTTTGGGAACATTTTTGCAATTTTAATTATAGATGAAATGAGCCATTCAATACAGTAACATTCCCTTCAGGGGAGTCCTCCAGCTTCCTAATTACCTTATGGCTCTTCGCAGCACTTCTTTATATGAAAATCACAACCACAATCTTCCCTCTGAAGATCCCGTAATTCAGCTGGAGTACCACTCTACCTACAAGGATACCAATGCCAAGTACAGCGCGCTATGGAAGAACCCTGTATAAAGGATGCACTGTTTACTGATGCTCTGTGTGTGTACATAACATTTTCTACATTTCTCCCTTCCTTCAGATGTTCGTGCTAAAAGATAATTCACATACACACACATAATGACCTTGAATTTTTTCCTTTTTTTTTTTTGGTAAAACAACATTTACAGAGTTCTTCTGCAAGCCTATCAAAGCCTCCTCTCTTAAGAAAATCTGATATACATGCCCTAGACCCTCAAAAAAAAAATTATAATGCCAATCATGCCCTATCCATTATGCCTCTACACCCCTCTAAAGCTCCCTCGAGTGCATGCGTACACAGAGTACCTGCAGCTCCCTCCCCCGCATCCCCAAAACTAGTCGGGCACACGGCCACAAACGCTGTGGTTAACCCCGAACTCGGTGCCGCCCCACCAGCCAAACTGAACCGGCACCAGCCCAGTCCCCTCCGCTGCCCTTCCCACAGTGCGGGCGCTCCCGTGCGTCCCCCTCTTCCGCAACGCTCATCCCATCTCCCACTCTGCCTCTCTCCTCCTGCAACATCTGCTCTTCTGCAAAGGTGATATGATTCTGCATAAATAAACCTGCATTTTGTTTTAACAACTTGACACATCCGTGAAGAGTGTCAATTAGTTTAGTTAGACCTCAATGATGGCAGAATCGCTGCTATATGCGGGTGTAGTAATATTTTAAAGGGGCATAACCTGGAAAATACCTGTTTTTCAAGAACACTTACATAGGAGACCTGTCCTTCAGGTTTTTATCATATAAATCCTATTCTGTATTATTTAAGAAATAGTAACTGTACGGGACATTATTACACGCAGACTACTGACCAACAGAGAAGCAAAATGAGCTTTTTCTTCCAAATTTTCACAAAGGGCGTGCTAAAAATAATCTATTTGATTTATAAAGAATAAATGAAGTTCAACAGTGTCATTTTAAGACATGACTTCACACGTTCCACTGCAAATCTAAAACTTTTTAGTTTTGTTTGTATATCTTCCATATACATTTGCTCTTTTTAATGCTATCTTGATAATAGGGTTACCTATAGCTATATGACAGTCTAATTCCTATTTTAAGTCTCCTATCCAGTTCTGCAGAAATTGCTGAAAATCAACTATTACAAATGTCATTTGCAAGTCCTTTGCCTGCTATCAGATGAGCCCCAACAGTCCATTTCTTCACAGCTTTGAACTTCCCTCTAGCTCTAGATGAATTAACGTGATCCTATCCATTCAGCCAATACTACTGATTTAATAAGAGATATGCCCAAAATGGATGATAACCTGGTTTGATCTGGTCTGTATAAATGAAACTAAACTGGACCCAGCCACATTAAAACCCAGTTTAGAAGTAATCATTGTTAAATTACGCTTCAAGTTACACGAGGGAGAATGGAGTCCATGTTGTGTCCATTTCCAGCACAGATCTTTCCACATTCTACAATGTCAAATATCTATACTGAAAATGACTTTCAAACACACTTTCATGCGAACATTGCAGGCAAATACTACCCTCAGGATGCAGCTCAGGGTTACTCCCATAATAAGCGTATGTTTTCCTGTTCTAACATTCATGGCAGCGACTTCAAACTAACATAGCAGGCAACATTAATTTAGTGAATGTCAACAAAACCTCTCTTGCCTTTGAAGTGAAAGAGAAGCGACAGCAGGAGAGAAAGAAATACTGGTTTCCATATTGGAAAACATAATTCAAGCCCTATCTCTAGGCAAAGGTCTCACCTACTTTGCAATTTCATCTTTATTGCTATTGCAAAATGGAACAAATTGTTGCATGACCCAGAGCAGCCAAAACATACAGTTTTCTTTCCACATCCATGTTATCTCACATTCAACATCCCACAAAGAACAGAACCGCACTGTCATCACGTTGAGAAGTCAATGGACTCCTAGGACAGCTAGAGAGGTGTAGAAAGGATATAAAACCTGGCATCTAGGTACTTAGAACATGGTATATTAGTCTTGCTGTTTTTTTAAACCACGCAAGCCGAAAGATGTGAGTCATAACACTCGTGTGTCATAACAGTGATTCATAAATACAAGGGCACACAATGCATTTATATGAACCACAGATGAAGGATCTCCCAGAGAAACAGGAAGACCTTTCCTGAAGGCTGGGCAAAGCGTGTCCCAGTGTTAACACACCAAACGAACAACCGGCTCTTGAGCGACTCGGTGAGCAAATACAGGGTACCTGGTAATGATACCACATCCCATGCACCAGCAAACGGGGACAAACACTTTCTGTAAATCACAGGTCACATCACGAGCGCCCGTGGCCCAGGCCAGGAGAGAAGAGTTTACCAGACTCTTGCTATATTCCTGCCCTGCTCGTGCACGGCCTTGGGCAAGCTATTTGGCTTCTTGTGGCTCAGTTCCACAGCGGCTAAAGGGAGGGCAAAGTTATTTCCTTATTTCAGAAGAGTAGAAGCTGCGCTGAGATACCATAGCGCTGGGGTCAACTGAATACGTGCCTTCGGGAGAAGAGGAGTCACGTTATCTGCTTGGCGGTCGGGCCTGGCATGGCCTGTGACCCTGCCAAAAGCAGCACCCCACCTGCTGCAAAGACCTGGGAGCCCCAGGGGAAGGAGGCCCCGGCATAAGGGGCATCGAAAGCCCTCGCCTGAGGGAAGGCGAGGGACCGCAGCCTCCCGGGGCATCACCCGCGCTCCCCTCCCGTCTCCTCAGCCTCCCACACCGACACCCCGCTTCCTCAGGTTCCGGCGTTGCGCCGCTCGCCCCCCGCACACGCCCTCGCCCCGGGCGGGAGGGCCCGCGTCCCTC